AGACTGAATGTTCACTTAATAAAATAAAAGGTTTTCGTTTTACTGATAACTGGTGTCTAGACATTATGCATATTTTTTTGTAAGATGTTGCTCTTGTTGAGTTAGGGTGTATTTTTTATGGTTTGTGTGTGCTAGACAACTGTCTAACCTTATCTGAAATAAATAAATCTATGTGTTTATTATGGGGTAAAAAAACTGTCAAAAAGACTCATAAACCTGTACAATTTTAAAAAATACAACAACCAGGTTATTTACTTGCACCCTCAATGAAAGCAGTACAATGCTGGGCTCTGCTTAAGTATTTGCCACTAGCAATAAGAAAAACTGTTCCTCTCAAAAATAAACACTAGAAATTTCTGCTTCACTTGTCCCATTTAGTCGATTTGATATTTGCATCACACTTTACACATGAAATGTCTGTTTATATGAAACATGTTGTTTCTGATCATCTATCTATGTTTAGTAAGTTATACTGTAGTGAAGAAGTTAGGTTACATCTTAAGCATCATTTTCTTGAACATCTGCCAACCATTATTTTAAAATCTGGTCCATTTGTTGGCATGAGTTGTATGCGATATGAACTCAAAAATTCATTTTTTAAGAGATGTGCACACATTGTATGTAATTTTACAAACATTTGTTACACTCTAGCGAACAGACATCAGCAGCAAGCCTTGGAAACTAAACTATCTAATAAATATATTCACTATGTTATAACCGTGGTTAAGCACACCATTGAACCTACTCATTCACTTACTTATCTTAATACTCTACAGAATACACTGTATTTCAACTCATGTGAAGAAGTTGCTGTTTCAAAAACATTATATGTTGCAAGTGTTGTATACAAACAAAGTCATTTCCTTGTTGTCAACTTAGATACGGATACTGGGTTACCGAGATTTGGAAAAGTTTCCTGTTTTGTTTCATGTGCAAATAATAGTCAAAGTGAGATGTGCGATGGAAAGAATATTGATGAATTGCATTGAGATCTAGAAATGTTAGAAACAGAAAATTTCACTTATCACCTTCATTCTTACGAAATTATATATCCTCCTAAGCCTGTTTATGAAATTTTGAAACTTAATGATTTACTTGATTATCACCCGCTTTACTGTCATTCCTTGTTCTGTAGTTCTAAAAAAAAGGCACTTCATTAAAATGACTTATCACATTTTTTAATGTTTTTATTTTTATTACACAATATATTATGAAAAAAGAATACACCCTGCAGTTGTTTGATATGACTCTTAAAATCTACATTCAAAATTTTTTTTATGTTACTTTGTATTTTTTTATATACTATAAGATTTTTAAGTTTATAAGTTTTACTCAATTATGATAAAATGATTATTTTTATTAGAAATTTTTCGGAAAACACTTTGCAAATGTTTAATGTGACAAGATCATAATTTAGACTTTAGTTTATACTTTGGTTAAATAATGAGTCTTATTAGCACATTGGGAGTCTTATTGGATTCTGTTCTGGATTTGTTGATTCCTGCTAGTGAAGTACAACAAAGTTTAATTGGTATGCTGAATTTTCAGGTGTGTTTTAATTGTTTTTATGAAAGTTTGTCATAATAGATATATAGGATATATTTTTCGATATAATATTTTATTTAGAATCTGGATTTACTTTAAGTTCATTCTTATAAGCCACAAAAGATGATCTTGTTATACTATGATTTAGAATGGCAGAGAGGCGGTTACTTCAGGCCTGGATTCGAAGTCAAATTATTGTATTACAAGCCATTCCAACCATCAGTGAGTTCACTCCCTCACAATGCTCATCGAACAGTATAAAAGTTCATTCAGCTTCATCCAATAACAATAACTGTCCTGCTACTACAGCTATAAGTTTCAAGGTTTGTTTTGATGATTAAAAAGAAGTGAAAAATATGGATAATTTGAATACTAGCCGAAATAAGCGAGTTATAAAATCATTTTCTTATAGATGCTTTTATGCTTGGTTTGATGCTTTATTATAATGGGAAGATAATGTTATAAAAAAATAATATACATTATAATAAATTATTAATTAAATCTTAAATATAACCTCTATTATTAGTTATTTTGCATTTTTATAATTTATGACAAAGTTGTATTGTAGGAAACATTTGTATTAATTGTATTATTTCTTAACGCAATTAAATTTAATGTTACATACATTTTTAATTTCATTAATTTCTTTAGAACCTGCGAGTAGATAATATTCTCTCTGAGCAGACGCAAAAACATGTTCCTATTTGTGGTCAGATATTGACTATTTGTGGTCAGATATTGACTATTTGTGGTCAGATATTGACTATTTGTGGTCAGATATTGACTATTTGTGGTCAGATATTGATTAACAAGTTAAAGGCTCGAGATCCTATTAGCAAAGCTGAATCTTTTACTAAAGTTTGTGGGCGTTATCTAATGAACAATTGTATTAAGTATTATAAAGTCACAAGAATATTATAACTTAAAATAAAAAGTAAAGGAAATTTAACATTGAAAAAACATTGTATTAACGAAAATCTGAAAATATCGAGTAAAAATATTTAACTAAAAACTTTCTGACCAACTAGGGACGAGTTTTTCATAAGTTTACTTAAAGTTTTTGTTTTCTTTTAAGTAAACTTTCGGAATAACTCTAAAAGAAAAATTAGTTGAATTTGCATTTCAATTAAATTTACTTTCATTTATATACAGAAAAGATAGACCAACTCCAACTGAAAAGCAGGACATGTCGAAGTCAATTGTTGCTTGTTTTCCTACTTTGCACGATGGAACAGCTAGTGGCTATGTGAGTAATAAACTTGTTATATTAAATTGTTGCAGTAAGAGTGTAGATTATATATTTCATATGTGAGACTGTAAGTGTTATTTTAATACTGTAAATGTTACAGTAACTATTACATGTACAACTTTAGGTAATATTGTAAGATGCTAAGTGTTATTGCATATTATATAACAATGTTGTTTTGTAACACTGTAATACTATGACAGTGTTGTACTTGCAGTATTATATTGTTAGTGTAAGACTACAGGTTTCCTTTTAGGGATACTTTTTTGATAGAAAGTCATTTACTGGAAAGCTGGAGCATTTTGTTCCATAGCAACACTATGGAAACATCCTGCACAAAGCATAAAGTGAATATTTTTTCCTGAAGACTATGTGGTTTTTAAAAAAATTAATTTTCAAAGTAATTAATTTTTTTTCTTGCTTTTCTTAACCCTTTAATTAGAATAGATTTTAGAACAATTCGGTGAATGATGTTGAAAGTTCTATTCAGTTGCTCCGTGAACAAAGACCCAATGTTCAAAAAAAATTAAAACTTAACCAGCTAATGGAGGTGACAAGAAACCATCTACGTGCATAAATTGATATAGCATCTCCATCAATCACGAAAATTGTTTGTCAGTATCCACGGTTCCTTTACATGCCTGAAGCAGTATGTTTTTTTTTGTGCTTGTTATGTTTTTTTGTGCCATGTAATTTATTTTATTTATGAAAACAAATGCTATGACTTAAAAACCTTTAGAAGAAACTAATAAAAAAATCTAATAAACTGAAACATATTATATTTTACAATATTAAATATAATCAGATTTTTAAAGAATTCCAGACTATCAATTCAGTTGAGATGCGAATGTATGATCAGTGGCAGAGATATAAACTAGTAATACTGGAACATGCCCGATCAGAATCATTACTGGTTCCCCAAATGTCTTTTTTAACAAATGAGTTGGATGAAGGTATATTTTAATTATTTTAAGTATTCGTAAAGATTCTGCTGTATTTGTTTCATAATTTTTTTTTAAATTTTTTAACTTTTTCATTAGCTCTCTGCTTTTAAATATATTTTTAAAATAACTTTTTTTTTAATAAGGCAAGAAATGCATACTGGCTGTAGAGTGTCTTGTTTGGCTGCTCCCAACACCACCACAAAAAGCAGAGAGCTAATGTATATATAAATAAGATGTATATATAAATAAATATATATGTATAGATATATATATATACATATATATATATATATATATATATATATATATATATATATATATATATATATATATATATATATATACATATATATATATATATATATATATATATATATATATATATATATATATATATATATATATATATATATATGTATTTATATATACATCTATATACATATATATATATATATATATATATATATATATATATATATATATATATATATATATATATATATATGTATATATAAATAAGATGTATATATAAATAAATATATATATATATATATATACATATATATATATATATATATATATATATATATATATATATATACATATATATATATATATATATATATATATATATATATATATATATATATATATATATATATATATATATGTATATATATATACATCTATATGTATATATATATATATATATATATATATATATATATATATATATATATATATATATATATATATATATATATATATATATATATATATATATATATATATATATATACTCAATCAAAAATATACCCATACCATCTGAAAAAGAATTTATACTGCAGTTACTCGAGAAAACTGAAGCTCTTATAAAAAGAATGAGATGGAAAGCGCTATTTTTTATTAACAAACAACTCGGTGATACATCTAAGTTCAATGATTATACTAACTATGGAATAAAATCTTCAAAGTGCCCTCCACAAATTAAAGAAATGTCACTATTTGAAAAAGATATAATAAATCTCGTTAAAACTATCAAATTTCGCAATCTCAACAACACATTTCAAGAAAAGGGAAATAATGACATTAAATTTTTACGTAAATCTAATAAAACTTTAACTCCAGCTGACAAAACTTCCAACATGTACAAAATATCTAAAGATGATTACAACCACCTTCTAAAAAACGCAATCACTTTTATTTATAAAAAAGCCGATCCAAAACTTGTAAAGTAAAAAACCATTGCTTCTCCGCATTTAGTGAATGTCACGGGAATTAAATATTCTGTAAATCTATTTATGTAAATCTCCATGTATTTATTGTGTTTCAGTTTTATTTTCGGTAATTACATTTTATGACTTTAATAATTTTTTTTCTTTAAAAACGTGCCGAAAAGTAACCCTGAAAATTATATATAAAATAATAATCTAAATATTAATAGCCGAATGAATATTATTATTAGTGCGCATAGTTACGCATTGTTACGCCTATTGTTCGTTTTGTTAATTACGGTTCTGCATTATGTAAAATACACTATTTCTTAGTTTTTAAGTTGTTTCTAGACTTTTCAAAGCGCAGTTATATATTCCACGCGGTCTTTCGAGTAAAATCAGGAAGCAAATCGGAGCTGATACACTTATTTTCAAAAAGAATTAATGTTGTTTATTTTTAAAATAAAAATTTAAATAATTGTTAGTTTGTTATGTATATATATATATATATATATATATATATATATATATATATATATATATATATATATATATATATATATATATATATATATATATATATATTATATATATATATATATATATATATATATATATATATATATATATGTATACCTATATGTATTTTCTCTTAGCAAAAATAATTGAGAATAGAAAAATAAAAAAAATTTCTTCTGGAATGTCAAAAGGGTGTTGTGTTATGCTTCATTTTAAGGTATCTAAATATGTACTTATTTTTCATTTTTTAGAATAAGTTAGAACTAATTTGACTGGTAAAATGGTTTTTTTAGTTCAATGTTTCTTTTTTAATAAAACTGTTTCAGTTTTGTCGTTAAAAAGTCTTTTTAAAACATTTTAAGCAGTATTTGTTTTATTTTTTAGAGCAGTTAAGAGAAGCTGATCGCTTTTTTAGTAAGTTCAAGTTGTTTCCTCATACATAAATAAGGATTTTCGATTTATTTCAGTCTATTTTATATTTATTCTAGATCTATATATATATTTTCTCGAAGGAAAAATAATAAGGAATAGAAAAATTAGGAAAATTTTTTCTGGAATTTGTCAAAAGAGTGTTGTCCTATGCTTCATTAGGTATCTTAATATGTATTTATTAGAAATTTTTAATTTTGTTCTTAAATAGTTTCTTCTTTTTCATTACTTCAGATTAATACATACTGACTGGTATAACTTAATTTTTATTAACATTGTTGGGCATTGTAATCTGCATTCTTTGTTACATTAAAAATTATTGAAGCTTGCAAATATTGTTTTATAGTTGTTAAAAGTTTGCATATATGGTTATATTATGCTCGAAGTTAAAAAAGTTTTTGATAAATACGTGTATTTGATGATATATGTTATATAGTTATTTATATAAATGTGTTTTTATAATAGTATGAAATGTATTTTATCTAATGTGTAAATGATTATTAAATGAGGTGATATATGATATATAGTTGTTTATTTAAATGGGCTTTTATAATAGTATAAAATGTATTTTATCTAATGTGTATATGATTGTTAAATAAGGTGTTTTTATATGTTATATAACATTAAAAAAATATATTGTTTTTTATAGTTAGTATATATTTTTATATAATGTTGTTTCCATGATTTCAAATTGGTGTGACTTGGCAAACATGTAGTGATATATTTTTCATTCTTACCAGTCAAGCACTGCTCTATGTCTAAGTATTGTCTAGCCTTATATAACTATATTGAAAATACACAACGTTATCTTTGATATTTTTTTGCGTAATGTTGTTATCTTTGGCTTATCTTTATGTTGGTAACTGTTGTTTAAAAAATGATTTAGAGGTAGTTTCATTCACGAGTTCAAAATGTTTAATTAAACATTAAGTAGATAATGTTTAGTAGCTTAAAATTATAGGTAATATATAATCTTTTTAAAACTTTATCAAGTAACTAATTTATTGTAATCTTTTTTTAAGTTGCACTTTTAAATCTAAAGCTTCGTGTATAAAATATAGATCTAAATATAATTTGCGCAATGAATACTATTATTATTATTATTATTATTATTATTATTATTATTATTATTATTAGTGTCGTTTCACTTTCATTTTTAAGGTAGTTTCTAGACTTTTCTTTACGTGGTTACATATTCCACGCGGCCTTTTGAGCAAGGTCTTCAAGCAAATTAGAGCTGATATATTTTTAGTTTCATGAAGAAGTGATGTTGTTCATTGTTTAAAAACTAAAATAAAAACTTAAATAATCTTTTGTTCGTTGTTGGTTATTTTTATTTTTCTATTTTTTATAACCTGTGTTCATTTTTTAGAAGAAGTTATAACTAAAATAACTGGCAAAATAAGTATTTTTTAGAGCAGTTAAAAGCTCCTCTTAACTGCTTTTTAATTAAGTTCAATTCATTTTATTATTTATAGATTAAGAATACTTTTTGTAGAAAGAATAACGAGAATAAAGTTTTATTGATGTATCTTAATATAATTTGCGTAGTGAATTTTATTATTATTATTATTATTATTATTATTAGTGCGCATAGTTACGC